CCAATGGGTTCATCTTCTCTTTCTGTATCCATGTTACTATGTTCAAGTGAAGCCGTTTCAAAATAACCTTCTAGTACATCATCATCAACCTGACAAAATTCTTTTTTTGCTAGCAGAATAGTCTCAGAATTCTCTAGAAAAACTTCCTTGCAGTTGATACTTAAAAGGTCTTCTTCTTCATTTCTCCAACTTTTGAACAGCATCAATAAGCAACGAAAGTACTCGTCAGCATCTTGATCAATATTAAAGTTGTAGTAACGTAGGACATGCGGCTTAGTTCTTTTTTTAATGTAGTCTTGGTTTTCTAAAAGACAATACACTTGGCCTGGCTCTCCATAAAGCGTGTTTTTGTTATTATTCTGTTGAATATGATCTTCTTGGTCTTCTATGAGCTCATAATAAGTATCATCATTTATGTCATTGTGATCAATATAATTAGTTGTAGTATTTCTTGATGGTTGCTTTTTTGAAAACTCAAAATAAGCAGCAAACTGTGCCAAGGTCAAATTCTTCAAATCTTGGGGCCTACAAATGTAATGCTTAATTAATCCTGGTAGAATTGGGATCCATTGCTACAAGTTTGGATTGCTTCTTTAATATGTGAAGTCAGTTTTCTGGTCTGCTTGTTGGTATAAATACTGTAGCTGTGCTCGCTTCTGACATTCGAATTCGTAGTAAGTTGTATACTGCTTCTTGAGCAGATATCTCACTAGCATTGTAATAGGTTGCAGCAAGTGACCTCATCATATTAAAAGATGTTGAGCTACTGTCATCTTTGTGCTTATTGTAAATTTCTTCAAGCGTCTTACTTAAGCCTCTATCAGCCTTGTTTATATAGTCAACTACATATGCGCAGCAAGCATATGGATCGAGAATGAATTGAATATCCATATTTGATCTGAACATACTGAAATTTTTTTTGTTATAATTATTTATCATGACTTCATTCGGTTGTCGTTTTATCATGATTTTGTTCATTTTAAGAGTGTTGCAAATAGACAGTATGTATTCATCAATAGATGTGATATCAACAGCTATTAAGAAATCATCAAAACTCATGGCTGACGTTTGAAGAGCTTCATAATGTTCTTGGAGATATCCTTTGATGCGAGTCATATTTTGCTTTAATTTAGTAATCATAGTTTCTGATAGACCTTCGTTTTCAGTTATTGGGCATAATATCCAAGTTTTGTCCATAGAATAAAATGGAATATTAAATCTGCAAATTGTAATATTGTTTCTTTTTCTTTGGCAAGTAAATGTGTGCATATGACATTGCCTTTTCAGCAATTCTTTCCAGGTGTTCTCGTTACAGCAATATTCCTGTTGATGATGCGGTATTTCACCCCATTGTCTCTTACAAGTAATCATACTATCAACAAATTTACAGATTTTTCTTTTCATATCCTTATGAACAGATTCGTTTGTCCATTGGTCAGGTTCGTACTTGGGAGCGCCCTTAAGCCATACAAGCATATGAACATGAGGTGAGCCTCTATGCTGGAATTCTATTTGGAAGTAATATTCATTAATGGAATGATTTCCAAAAGGCCCATATGGTGCTTTCCATGTTTTCTTCAGCTGTCTAAATCGGTAGTCAAAGTATTGTGCACATGTTATTGGGTCTTGCTGAATCAGTTTGGCTTTTTCATCATATGTCATTTGCTTTGTCTGATCTTCTGTAATAGCAACTCTATCAGTTACAAGTTTTAAAATGCATAATAGCTCAGGCCAACTTGCTTCTACTGCAGATAAAGTTACAAAAATTGTTGGGATACCAAATTGTCTAACTATTGCCAAAAGATTTTTCTTCTCATTTTTCTAATATTCTGCAGTACAACGGATACCACTAAATGTCTTATAAGCCTGGTCTTTACTGAGTAATCCATCA